CTGTGAGAACCCGTAATTTGTTATTTTTCAGGTTTTAGGATTTTCCATAGCTTGTTTTCTGCATTTTCGTGATTAGAAACATTTCTAGATAATTTTAAGGAGCAGATATAATTTTTAGATGATTTTTCTAGTATTGAATAGGTTTTGAGAAATTAAGAGCGTATACCGGACGTGGGACCCACTAGTACGAAAAGTTCGGAAAAATTCGATTAACTAGGTTAAGTTTTGGATACTGGAATTAATTTATCGGGTGTTAAGAGATAAGTAGAGGATGCTAAGTGGATTGGTATAAGAGAAACAAGTTAGGTAAGCATTTAGTAAAGGTGACAAGTGTCACCATTTGAGTGGGTTTACTTTAGGAAAACTATTCATGGTCTTACCATTTGACTTAAATAAACAAAAAATGGCCAAAAATCATCAAAAAAATCCTCCATGGTGGCCGGCTCTCTCTTTCTCTCTCTCTTTCTCTAAGCACAAGGAAGAAAACTCTTCAAGCTTGCTCCAAATCATCAAAACCAACCATTGAAACTTGAAATTTCTCCATAAAACTTCTTCAATTAGTGTTTGTGAGTTGTTGTGTGAAGTTATTTGGAAAGTTAAGGTGACCAATTGCTCTCTCTCTCTTGTTTCTAAGGTGAGTTGTGAAGAACCACCCTCCTCCCTTAATTGATGCTTAAATCATGATTAGTGGTAGTATGAGATGCAATATTATGGATTATTTCTTGATTTGTGGTTGAAGTGATGAAGTTTTATTATTTTTGGGGATTTTTCTGTTTTAATATGAACATGATTGTGTGGCTATCTATGATGATTGGAAATGGTATATAATGCTCTAGGAGGTGGAAAAAGTGCTTAATTGCAACCAATTTCTGGTTTGGAAGAAATTTCAGAAAATTAGGGTTTGAGTGGGAACATTCTGCCCGAATTTATAGCTCCTAGTTAGAGGCCGAATTGGCCTTAGATTAAAACATGAAAGTTGTAGGGAATGATATTTTAGAGGTGCCTACAAAATTTCAGGTCAATCGGAGTAGTGTAGAATGAGAAAAATCGAAATTACTATTGCTGTTCTGGTTTTACCCGAATGTAAGAATTGCGCCTGTAATTGGTTGTTTTGGCTGGAATTGCTTCTGAATTGGTTGTTGAGGCCTTCTGATGAAATGTAGCCCTGTTTCTTATCTTTCATCTGGTTTTGGAATTTCTGGATTTGGACTTGGAGAACCTGAGTTATGATGTTTCCGCTAGAATGCGTTCTGTGAATCTGTTTTACGGTTTTGGTGTAGTATCTTGCATTTTTGACATGGTTGCACTCAAAACTGGGTTGAGTGACCTTCTGTGATGTTGTAGCCCTGTCTTTTAGCTTCGAATCGGTGTATCGTACACCTTCATCCGATAATTGTAGTGAAATTCATGCCATTACCGCAAAACGAGGTCAAAAACTGTTTTTTTCAGGGCCAAAGCTAATTGCATTTCCGAATTTTCTGGTTTCCTCTAATGTTTGTATATGCTTATGGAACCCTATTGGGGTCATGTTTGGCCTTAGTTTATGACTCGTTATCAAGTCTCATTGTACTTGTTTGCATGTTTTAGGGCGTGACGGTGGTGCACAACGTTCTTTTGACGGAAGTGCATGAAACCACATTTGCGAGCTTGGTGAGTGTACTACTCACTTGTGTGTTAATATATGGCGTTGATACTTGAACTTGGTGCTTTGAATGTTAATTGCTTGAAGTGAAAGTGTACTTTATCACTCTCACTGTGTGCCTTATATCCTTGTTATCATGTGATTGGAATGTTACACGAAGTGTTACTTGAAATGAAAATACATGACTTGGTGTCGTTTGGACGAGTATCCAACGACTACAATTGTTATCAATGAGCTCAACCCCATTGGTAGTTGATTGAATCGAGCCGGCGAGGGCTTGGTCGTGCCAATTAATGATCCTTGGGGAAATGTTATATGGAATCTTGTAGTATGCGAGACTCTCGATTCCGGTTTACTCGAGTAATACCAAAGTGCAAGTGTTTGGATTTCGGGCCCGGTAGGGGAATGTTAGGTGGAAGGAGTGGAAGTAAAGTGGAGTCTACTGTTGGTTACTTTTGAACATTGACGGAGAGTCAATGACGTCCGATCAAGAAATGCAAACGAGGAAAGGGCTCTTGAGAGCCATATGTATCCTTTTATCACCATATTTGACGTGTGCCTTTGCTTAATTTTACTATATTGAATGAAAGCTTGATGCTTATATGCACTTGGTTGCGTAAGTGATAGTATCTCACTGGGCAATTAGCTCACACCGTTCCTTTTGTTTTCCTTACAGGAATATGACTCTTTTTGGAATGAATTTTGATAGATGGTTGCCGAATGAACTAGATGTATATCTCTTTTGTATTGTATATGAAGTGAAACCCTAAATGTATCTTTAGGGCCGTTTTCACTTTCAATTTGGCAAACCGTGTATATATTAACTTTTGAAAACTTTTGTATGTCACTTTGGATTGTAATTGCTAAAGTTCAAGATGTGAATGTTTGTTTGATATTTGGTTGCGTTCTGACGGGTCGGTTACTATTCATGGCCGACTCCGAACTTCATTTTTTTTATTTTGGGTTATTTTGCCCTTTTGCCTTGTTTACGCGCGTTATAAGTTCCGGAACACAATAGATCGCTCTAAACTGCACCGTTAGTCCTGGCGAGAGTTGGGCAGGCAGTCCGCTAACCCCTTTGGTTCGCCTTAGGGAAAGGTGGGGCTGTCACAAGTGAGAGGAAAATCTCATGAAATGAGGAAAATCTCAAGTGATTGTAAGTGTGGAAATGAGAGATGTATATAATCACAATAGCATTGATAAGTGTGCATTTTGAGTGATTTAATTGTGTTTTATTATTTAATTTTGGTGTGTTTTATTCATTTTTTATAACTAATTAACTGGGTTTCTAGTGAATTATGCATTTTGTGGTTCAAAGTGTGAAAAATTGCATTTCTTTGTGTTCAATGATTCAATAATCAAATGGAGTGAATTGAGAAAATATTTGGATGATTGCTGATGATTTGAAGTGATTTAAAGAGAATATGAAGTGTAAAATGTTCAAAAGATGAAATGCAGTCAAGTACAAAAGAATATATATTTGATAGTTTTGGCACCTTTTGGTATTTCGGCTATATTTTGAGTTAAAAGTATTGGATTAAGGTGATTCTTGAGCCATTTTGAATTAAGACACGGCTCTACATTTCTTATGAAGGTATCAAAATCCAGTTCATGAGTTTTTTTGGTCAAAAAGTTGAAATACAGTCAGCCATTTTTTGCTGTCAAAAGCTGAAACACGGGATTGACTAGTCAAGAGTATTTTGCTAATTTATCAATCTATAGAATTTCAAATTGGATGATTCTTGATGCATTGAAAAGCTAGCTTAAAGGGCTGCAATTTCATGTTTTGTACAAGAGCGAGTTTAGCCTCCATTATGAAAAAATATCAATTGAATTTGGTGCAAAAATAGAGCAAAATTGAAGACTGATCAGAAAAATACAAACCTGCAAGGGAGGCAATACACGGGTGCAATACGCGACCTAACTCCTACGTTTTGACCCCATGTATTCTTAAGGAAGTTGTGCACCTTGCATAGCTATTTGCTCTGGTTTTTTTGCAACTTTTTAGAGCTCAATTCCAACAATAATTTGAACTGCAGCTATACAAAAGAGCACGTAGACTTGTAGAATAATATTTTAGGAATCTCAAGAAGTATTTTACATCAATTTTAATAACTCATTTGGACCTTGAATTCATCTATAAATAGGGGGTTTAACAACATATTTTCACAACTTTGGAGTCTAGAGAAACTACACAAAAATGTAGTCTTTCTCTAGAATTTCCTTAGTTCATTAGTTAGGGTAGATTAGTATAGTTTGTTTCACCCAAATCTTGTATGTAACTAAGCATAGATGAAGTTGAGAATGAAAATAGAGAGTTTGAAACTCATGTAACAAGGGTGGCATTTCTTGTTTGGAACTCATAAATGAGGGTTACTGGTGCTGACCCCGAAGGTTCAATTATGAATGGACAAACATGCCCTTTAAATCCTGCCAAATTTATGCCTAGAGTCACCGCAAGTCCTTAAAGTATGCAGTTTTAATTGTTCAATAGCCATTCGGAAATAAAATTTAGATGAGGGGTCAAAAGTAGACAATGGCAATAGTTTAGGGCCTCCCCAGGTTTTTTGCTCTTGATAAAATGGTCAGAATCAATTTGCCATCTGCTTCTTGCTTCAATATACTTCCTAACCTCACATAATCCGTGCCAAAACTAGGAAGGCTGAGATCTTTCTTGGGCTTGAAAGAAATCAGTATTGGGAAAATAGTTAGCTTTATATACTCAATGAAGTAGGCTAGATAGTTGTGGAGCAATGCGCCAGGCTTGCTTAGACAACAATGCGAGATTAAAAGTCTTAAGCTACCTGAAACCCATTCCTCCATCTTCTTTTCTGCTGCAAAGTTTATCTCAATTAACCCAGTGAATTAGTCTAGCCTTATTTCCATCACCCCATCAAAAATTGCTTATCATTGATTGGATATCCATCAGTAAAGAATCTGGAAATTGAAACAAGATATCGAATATGTGAGAATTGCGTGAACTATTGCTTTCAGCAAAATTTCTTTTCCCCCTTTCGATAAACGTTTCATTCTATCCTTGAATTTGTTGCCAAATTCTGTCATTGATAGAAGAGAATACCTCACATTTGGAGCGTCCAATAATGGTGGGAAGACCAAGATATTTTTCATGTGCGACCACTTCTTCAATATTCAGGAGCTGAGTAATATCTTGTCGGGTTGACAAATTTGTGTTACTACTGAAAACCACAGCTGATTTCTCAAGATTGATCTCTTGCCCCGAGGTCTCCTTATACAGTTGCAAGATATCCTAAATATGTCTAGCTTCTTGTAGTGTCACTTTGCCAAATAACAAACTATCGTCTACAAATAATAAATGAGAAAGCTTGGGGCCACTCTATCATATTCGAACTCCTAACAATTTACCACAAGCTTCTGCTTCTTGTAATAAAGAAGAAAAAGCCTCTGTACATATAAGAAATAAAAATGGAGAAATTGGATCGGCTTGTCTAATGCCCTGCTGAGGTTGTAGATAACCAAATTGAACACCATTCAGCCGAAAGGAATAAGAAACAGTAGAAAAACAACTGGAAATAAGATCAATAAAAGATGGATGAAAATCTAAAGCCAACATCATTCCTTTAAGAAAAGGCCACTCAACCCTATCAAAAACCTTGCTCATGTCCAATTTAATGGACATGGATCCCTCTTTGTCTACAGACTTGGATTTAAAAGAGTGATTAACTCCGTAAGCAATTAGGATATTATCTGTAATGAGACGACCAGGAATAAAAGCATATTGAAAGGGCGAGAGAATTATTGAAAGAACTTTATTTAATCTATTAGCTATAACCTTAGATGCTAATCTATAAACTACATTACATAAACTAATTGGACGAAATTGAGTTATATTGGATGGACATTGGCATTTTGGGATAAGCACAATGTAAGTGAAATTCAATTGATCATCAAAAAGCCCATTGTTCAGGAAGTCAAGAACACATTTAACTACATCCTAACTAATGACATGCCTTTCTGATAAAATATTGGGGACATGCCATCAGGACCGGAAAATTTAAAAGGATGCATATGATTTAAAGCTTTTGTTACGTCAAAAGTTGAGTAAGTTCGCATCAATGAATCATTCATTCGTTTAGATACCTTAGGTTGCACCCTTTCTAAAACTACATCAATTATCTTAGGGGATGGCTTTGAACTGGAAAAAATGGATCCAAAATGGTCTAAGATAATGTTCTCAAGATCGTCATGGGAATTGCACCACTGCTCGGCATCATTGAAAAGGCCATTTATCTAATTTTGCTTCCTTCATTTGGATGCATATGCATGGAAAAAAAGCTGTATTCCGATCCCCATCTCGATACCACTGAGTTTTACTCCTTTGCTTTCACATAGTGTTTTCTTGATCCAAAATATCCTCTAACTGATTTGTTAAAGTCCCAATTTGAACCTTAACAACATCAGTGAGAGTCCCTTGCTGTAGTTTAGCAATTTTTTTCCTTAGATCATCTGCTACAGAACAAAAATTACCAAATTTTGATTTGCTCCATTGTAAAAGACCCATTTGACATTCATCAGTTTTATTTAACAAATTAACACAAGTATTTTCCGCAGATGTACTTTTCCAAGATTGATGAATTACATTTTCACAATCATCCGCCTTTATCCACATGGCTTCAAACATAAAACATTTAAATCTCCTCGCCTCATTTTTAGTCTTTGAAAATTTAATGAAATTCTCAAAGCTAAAAACTATAGGCAAATGATCAGCCAATATAGAGTGCATATGTTTGATTTTTGACTCAAGGAATATGTCCAGAAAATCTTGAGTTGCACAAGCACAATCAAGTCTCGCTCTAATTGTATTTGGATAAGTCTGACTATGGCACCATGTATAAGTGAAACCCTCATAGCCCAAATCATGCAGATTACTGTCCATCAAGGCCTGACTAAAATTCATGATTTGCCAATTGTTTCGTGGACCAGAACCTTGAAATTCATTCTGACTAAGGACCTCATTATAATCGCCGATACAAAGCCAGGAAAGCTGAGATTGGTTGCTTAATTGTCTAAGAGAATCCCAGGAATATTTCCGCTTTGAAGCATCAGGATGTCCATAGAATCCAGTTAAACGCCGGGTATAATTTGGCATATGAACATTGCGATTAATAAAACTATTAGCAAAGCGGTTCAATGATATGTCGAGATCTTTTTTCCACAAAAGAGCCAACCCACCAGAAGTTCCTTTCGCATCTACACCAATACCAAACCATCAAATTTGTTGCTTCAATTTCTTCACAAATCTACTAGAGCACTTAGTTTCTATCAAAAAATTAATTGAAAGTCTTTCTTTCCGGATAAGACTCTGGAGTTCATGAACTATGCGGAGGTTTTCAACCCCGACAGTTCCAACTTAAAAGACTCATGATTCTCGGCGGGGTTGGTGACTAGCCTCCGCCGTTGATATATAGTGTGATGAGGTTGAGCCAGATGTCTTCGATTTCTTGGAAAAAGAAACATCCTCCATATCAACATCATCATAGAGGGAAAAATTATCTGAATGTTTCACCCTGTTGCCTAATAACCTTTTTCTTAAAGTTTGATCTGTAGATGACATCAAACTTGATTTGAGATTGAAGGTGATACTTATGATGCTTTGTTGCAAAATTGTGTGTCAAGGATTAATTATTATTTCACCATGCCCAAGCTCAAGTATTATGTCCCTACCTTTCAATAAGCAAAGGGATCATAGTATTCTACTTCTTGCAGATGACATACATGTATTTTGCTTTTAGTTTGTTCTTTATCATTTTTGGGTATTTTTTGCTGTTAGTCTGATACATTGGTTATCACTTACCAATATTTGACTTACGATGCAAGTATATACTCATCGGTAGATATGCATGTCACCTGGTAATGGACCTTTATATGTTGTTTTACTACATTATATCCATTTTGTTGAGTCTGCTTAAGTTTGAACTCAATCACTATTCCAGACTTCCCCAATTTGACTTACCAAAGGCAGAAATATTAAACAAAATTCCACATACTGAATTACCTTACGACTAAATCATCCAATTACAAACTTTTGACAAGATACCACTGTAAAAAGAATAGAACAGGTTCCCAATATCTAGGATGGTGGAGCCATTTACAAGATTTATCATTAGGGGAATAGCAAAGAAAGGTAAAGTCAAGATATGGCAGGAAGATGGTGATGATGATACTACACTAATGGCTTCTCATCTTCTAGTTGAAAATACAGAAGAAGTAAACAAATATTGTTCTAGCCAACAAGAAAATGTTTTTAACCTAAGAATGGTGTTCTCTGTGTTCTTTATGTTACATAGGGACATATATCATCATATTGAACCTTACGTTAGAAGATCTGCCCTTTTTACAGCTTCATGTTTATTGGTGTCCCTCCATCCCACTCATGTTGCATCAGCATTAGTGGCAAGAAATATTGAAATTCCTAGAGCATAAGTGGATTCACACATAGGCTCATCAAATAGCTAAATCAGACACAGAGAGAGTGTTACATGGTATGGAAAATTCTTAAGGTGATGAATATTTGTGGTAGAATGTAATTTTAAATGCTTACCTATTAGGATTATCTCATAGGAGCATGTGAAGGATGATCATACTTCCTCTCCAGACTCTAATTTTACGATGACTTTTTTTAGTATTTTCATTACATTGCTTTTATTTCTTAACATTCTGCACTTCTATAACTTTTTCAGGGACAAAAACTGATGCTATTTAACAAGGCTTGAATGACCTTTCAAGTTAAAAATGAAAGTTGTAGCAACTTCAGTTGGATACCAAGCTGCATATACTGCATATATCTTGGTAGAAATTAGTTGAACGAAGAAACCAAAATGAATATTGTTTTATATAACATACTCAGTCTTAAAATTTCTACCACTTTTTGGGGAGACATTGTTCAGAATGAAGGACGAGAACTATAACTAATTGCTAATGCCAAGCCAGTCATAGGAATTAGAAGGATAACAACTAATGTGTACCTAGGTACTTTCATAAAATTTTTGTTTAACTAATTAAGATACTTCATATTTCACACAATAACATTATATTTTTATTTTTTTAACAGAGAAATTCTACTTAAAACCACTTCATTATCCACATTGCGTATAAAACCCAAATGTCTAGAAGCAGAAAAACTGAAAAAATGGCAAAATATTTTATTTTCCCCAAAACAATCTGACAAGTCACTACCTCATTCAATTTAAACTCACGATTATCAACTAACATATATATATACATCGCCTAGGTTGTACATCTGGAGGTCAGGCTTAAGCCTACCTCTTTTTCAAAATTAATAAAATATTAGGCCACCATCCCACCCCTATGAACGAAGTTTCCAAATAATAAAATTCATCTATGTTGAAAAAGTCTAAACAAGCAACAGAAATTGAGGAGCTTTTAATGAAGAAAAAGATTAGTCAAGCAACAGAAGTCAAGCTTCCTAACATAATTAAAGATTCAAAATCTTTAATTGATTTTTTTTATTTCATTAGATTCACTACAAGAAAAATCAGAATTAGTGGATCTATTTAATGGCATTTTTCAAGGGAATGCTATGGTTAAAACTTTTAACGTCACCTTTATGAGAAAACAATTCACTTCTTCACTTTATGAAAATGCTGGATTAGTGGCATTTTTGCTTACCATGCCATTTTTTTTTAAAATTAAATATGATCTTTATTGGCAATGAAAAGAGAAATTACACAGACCGTGTGACTAACCTACCCTGAGACCGTACAGACTCTCACATACGGAGTTGACAGCCTATCTAACTGCAAAAGAGTCCGAACTTTAGAAGGGAGAGCTATTTCACTCAAGAAGCGGGCCTCCGCTCGTAGATCCGAGGAGGCCAACGCGTCGGCAACCGCATTTGCTTCTCTGAACGTGTGAACCAACGACACCCCCAATTTTGCCACCAAGCTCCGAATATGCCTAATCGTGTTACATAACGGCCAGCAAGACGTCATCTTAGAGGACACGAGATGCACTAAAGTACTAGAATCCACTTCCGCTATGACCCCCGTGAGATTGCTATCCTGGCAATAACGAAGACCCTCCAGCAAAGCCAACGCCTCTGAGGAGAGAACGTCTTTCTCTCCAAACTCCTTATAAAATGCAAACACTAAATTACCCTCAGCCGAGCGCACCACCCTTCCACCACTTGAACGCCCGCGTACCACACTAGCATCAGTGTTGAGTTTCACCGCTTGCCCTGTAGGTTTTGCCCAAGGAAAGGCACGAAGCTGTACCAATTTTCCCTTGACCTTACCGAGCTTCACCCAGTCACAATCTGTGTCCCCTTTGAAAAACTCGAACTTGAGCAGCCCCCCCCTGCCCAACTGCTCGACAAATGCGCACACCTGGTCGATTACCTGATCTGACGACATACTCACCCCCTCAAAGCGGGCCTTGTTACGGCCCTTCCAAATAAACCACAAGATTAAGAGAGGGAGAATGACACGAATATGATTCTGTGAGACAAACCGGTGAGACAAGAGCCAACATGATAGCCTCGATGCCACCCCACTCCCCTGGACTACCAGCCCAAAGCGGCAGGAGAAGTGCCGCCAGACCCTGCTCGCTAAAGGTCCCGAGACAAAAAGATGGTCTCCCGTTTCTGGAGCGAGGCCACAACAGTAACACTTTGACGCTAACCTCAATCCTCTCCCTTGAAGGAGATCATCCAAGGGGAGCCAACCACGCAACAACCTCCACGCCAAGAAGGATACCTTCAGGGGGACCACCGAGCTCCAGACCAATGAATCAACAACAGATCGATTGTGCGTTGAGCGAAGAACGTCCCAAGCTGAAGATACAGTAAAGCTCCCCGAAGGTGACGCCGCCCAAATCATCTGGTCTTGCATATTGGGGAATATTCGCAGCTCCATGACCTTCGACACTAAGTGCCCCGGAAGAAGCCGTCTGAGCCACTGCTCATCCCAACCATCAGAAAGAAAAAATTCCCCTACCAACCTGTGAGACTTAGGGCCTGGCACCAAGCTAGCGAGCGGAACATCAGTACACCACCTGTCCTGCCAGAAGTCAACTAAGCCCTCCCCCAGACACCACCGGATATTACCCTCCGCAAACCCCCTCACTTCTACCAACCGGCGCCAAACTGGGGACGGGCGGTCAACTGAAACTAGAAGAGGATGCCCCCCTCTGACATACTTGACGTGCATGAACTCTGCCCAAATGGACGCCCGTTCCCGCAACTTCCACCAGAGCTTACAAGAGAAAGCCTTTGTGATGTCCTCAAAGGAGCGAAACCCCAGGCCCCCTTCCTCGACCGGACGGCAAACCTTATCCCACGCCGCCCAGTGGGTCCGTTTGCTATCAATAGAGGAATCCCACAAAAAAGCATTGCACACTCGGCCGAAATGCAGCAGCACCGCCTTCGGGGGTTGGAGCACCTGGAGTAAGTAGACTGGAAGGGAACACATGACACTTCGTAAAAGGACAATCTTCCCCCCCATAGATAGCATCTTTGAGCTCCAATGGTATAGCTTTTGGCGAACCTTGCCCAGCAACGCATCAAACGCTGCACATGTAACCCTGCCGCGAATCAGCGGCACACCTAGATACTTGAACGGAAACCCCTGGCACTGGTACCCTAGGGTCGTGCTAACAAGGGTCCACTGGGTGTCCGTCACCCAGGCCGATGCGTAAAAGGCACTCTTAGCAATATTCACCTTCTGGCCAGAACAACTTTGGTAGAGCTGCAAAAAATCCTTAAGGGACACCAACGCGTCCTGCGAGCACCGAGTAAAGATGATCATATCATCCGCAAAGGCTAAATACGACACTTTCGACCCAGCAGATACAAAGTATCTACTGTCCTTGGAATCAAAAAGCCTTTGCAGCCCTCTCCCAAGAAAATCCGCCACGAATAAGAAGAGCGCAGGAGAAAGAGGGTCACCCTGTCGCACCCCCTGATATGACTTCACAAAGCCCGTTGGTTCCCCATTAACTAGGATCGAGAACCAAGTGTTAGAAAACGTTCGAAAGAGCAAATCCACTACTACCTCTTCAAAACCATACTGCCTGAGCAGAAAAAGTAAAAACGACCAGTCAACCCGATCATATGCCTTCTCCATGTCGAGCTTCAATATCAAATTCGGGTCAATCAACCTCCTATCCAAGTCTAAAATCAGCTCCTGGGCCAATAAAACATTGTCCACTATCCCACGCCCTGGAACAAACCCTGTTTGCCATGGTGAAATGAGCTTCGGGAGGAGCTTACTGATCCTGACCGCCAATATCTTAGACACAACCTTAGAACTTACATTACAAAGACTAAGAGGCCGAAACTCGCGCCAGTGGGATGCACCGTCCATCTTTGGGATGAGCACCACCATAGAGTGTGACCAGCTCCTGGGTTGCTCCATACCCTGAAAGAAGTCCTGGATAGCCATAAGCAAGTCATCCTTAACCATGTCCCAGCAGCTTTGAAAAAATCCTGCTCCAAACCCATCCGGACCCGGAGCGCTCTGGGTGTCCATTCCAAACACTACCTCATGGATTTCCTTCATCGTAGGAAGCTGTTTCATGATCTCGTTATCCTCTTGGGTGACTCTAGGAACCTCAAAAGGAAGCTCAGTGAGGGGCTGCACCTGGCGGTTGGATGCAAACAAGTCCGAAAAATAGGATATCGCTGAGTTCTTAATCTCCTGCAGGTCTTCGTGCCATCCCCCCTCCTCTTTCCTAATACGGGAAATGAAATTCGAGTTTCGACGCTGACGGACCCAAGAGTGAAAAAATGCAGTATTAGCATCCCCCGCCTGTAACCATTTAATACCTGCTTTCTGATGCCAAAACTCACACTCTATAGAAAGTGCCCGATTGTATCTCGCTCTGGCCTCATGAAGAAGAATCTTTGACTCCTCACTTCTAACCAAATCGTACTCCGCCTCCGTCTGTTTTAGCTCTTGCTCCGCCTCCGCCACCTTAGAAGAAACATTACCAAACACCACACGGTTCCATTGCTTCAATGCATCTCGCACTGCTTTGAGCTTGTTGTAAAATCTAACCATCCCCATGCCAGAGACCTCTGTACTCCACGCGGCCGACACTATCTCCCGGAACTGGGGGTGCCCGCACCAAACATTAAGAAACCGAAAGCAAGACGATGCAGCCCTATAGCCTGCACATCGAATCAACAACGCGCTGTGATCCGATCTCCCTCTGGCCATATGGGAGACCCTAGAAAGCGGGTAGGCCTCGGACCACCGCCTATTCCCCAATGCCCGATCCAAGCGCTGCCAGACTGACCCATTAGTCCACGTGAATCGAGATCCATCAAAATCAATTGTAGATAGCCCGCATTTGAACATGGAAGCATTAAATTCATCTATATTCTGTACATTAGCTGGATCCCCCCATTCACGCTCCGCTGCTGAAGCTATGACATTAAAATCGCCTGCTGCTACCCAGGGTTGGTTGTGTGAGATCGAGGAAGCCACACTTTCCATTGCCTCCCAGAGAGGCCGCCGTCCAACCCTCGTGCACTTAGCATATATCGCAGACACCCAAAAGGATGCCCCAGAGCCAAAGGAAACGTGAGCATGAAGCATTTGCTCAGCGTACTCGACACAACTAAGTCGTAAGAGGCACGACCAAAACACCCATATTTCACCACCAATATAAAGAGCTGAAAAATCAAAGTTTAAATACCTCCGAACCACCTCCAACTGACATTCCGCAGACATTGGCTCTAATAGGAATAGTAACCTAACCTTGTTGTCGAAGCACAACTTCTTCAGATAGCTCAAAGAGTCCCTTCGGGAGGCCCCTCTGATATTCCATACTAGCATATTATTCGGATCTAACATGAGACCGCAATGAGTATGAAGCTTGCGCCAAGGGTACACACATGTTATTATCCCCCTTCCTTGGTCTCCCTCGTTTCCATCTCAGAACAGTGGCGGTATCATCCTCCTCCAAGTCATTGCATAAATCCCCTTCAAAAAGAGCTAAAGAGTCTAAAACAGTCCCAACACCCTGGACTTGTTTCGCCTTAGCATTGAGATCCCTTTGAAACGCCTTCAAATCTTCTAGCGACACTGAAACATCTTTCACACTATCCACTGATCGCCCTCGCAGATGGCAGTCCCGTTTCCAACCTCTCGACGCTGACCGTACAGGGCTCCTGTCTCGCTGCTCCACGTCTGCAGATTCACCTTCCAACTCTCCTAGAGCAGCGAAAGTATTTGTCACACGGATGCTCCCCTCCTCTTCGATGCCCACGCGAGACCCGCCTTGCAGCTCAATCCATAGGTGACCAGCACTCCCGTGGCCGCACTCATCATTCCTCAAACCTTCGGACTGAAGAACTAGCGTGCCCTCCATCCCCTTAGCCCCATTACTTTCCAGACTCAAAGACTGTACCATCTTATTGCCGTCAGCGACAGGCTCCAGAGACGATGCACGCACTGTCACATTAGCCTTTTCCAATGTTCCTTCCGACTGGAGCAGCGCACAAGTTCCAGAATCGATTCTACCAGCAGCCAGTCCATGTTTACCGTCATCAGGCGCCTGCTTCCTCTCCAGCAACACCCGGTCCTGGCCAGATGCCACCCCTAACTCCTTCCCCTTCTCATTCACCACTTTCGGAACATAAACTTGCCGGTGTTTCAGAGTTTTCGACTGGGCAGCGCGAGGCAGCGGATCCGGGCGCAAGGAAGGATTGCTGTGAAAACACTGCTCCTTTGTATGGCCGAATCTGCTGCAGAACCCACAATAGTCTGGCCACCCCTCCATCTCAACAGGCTGCCAGAAACCGAAGTGCTCATCACCTATCCAAATACGACGCACAGGAGTCGACACTACGTTTACCTCCACCAACACTCTGGCTACTGACGGCCGGCGCAAGTCACCGGTTGATGCGTCAATCTTAAGGGGCCTGCCCAACGTAGAAGCGAGCTTGAATAATTGGGATCTCTGGAAAAAAGGAATCGGCAATTCTGGGAAGCAAACCCAGATTGGAGCTATGGCCAACTCCTGATCTGCCTTAAACTCCAACGACCACTTGGAAACCGACATTGGCGAGCTGCTAACATACCAAATCCTCCGCGCAAAGAGGCGGGTGTAATCTTCCTCCAGAGCGGGACGAATTAGAACGTGTTTCTGGTCAAGAAGGCCAACCTTACAGTCACCTCTGAGACCCAGCGACAGAAAGAACTTTCTTATGACTTCCATGGGTGGTCTGTTGAAGGAGAAACGCCCCACCAAAGAATTCTGAAACGGTTCCGAAAGCTGCTCAATATCCCTACGAGAGATACGCAAGGCGGGTTCTCCTCTGAAGGTAGAGACCTCTCCCAAAGCTATGGCATCAGGTTTATCCGAATCGCCTGCTAGGACCGAAGCAAAGGACCGCTGAACCAGAGTCCCACTGGCCGGTGTGTGTGACGGCCCACAGGCCGCCATGACCGGCAAGAAGAACTAGCCGCACCCTCAAACCCTAGCCGCTGTTTCTTTTTCAAACCCTAGAGCTGTTTCCTATCTCTTTAGTTCAATTCTTCGTTTTGGTGATGATCAGGCATAGATACTTGTTACTACAGCTGCCATAAATATTCTATTTTACTTGCTTTTTGTTAAATGTGCTTTTTCAATACTTAAATTTTTCCTTCTAATATTACTAAGGCTTTGTCAATTTTGCTAATCCTCTATATAAAGTTGCACAGTTTTGGTCAAAAAAAAAAAAAAAAAAAGCTTACCATGCCATTAAATGCAAATTTAGCCACACTTTGGTGGTATTTCATCTTAAGTGTCATTGGATCTGGCATTTTCTAAAGAGTTTAAAATAAAAAATGAAAAAAAAACACAGTTCGCTAATTGATGAGATTTGCTTGCCTAATTGATGAGGTTTCTTTCCCTGATTTATTTCTTCTCTTAACTGATAAGTATTAAAGTGAATCCTTCAAACATTGAAACTCACTAAAATCAAATAGAGATATATTACATGCTATTCATACTGTTCAGGTAAAATCAAATAGATATATACATGAATTTTCAAAAATAAGAAAAAACTATTTATACACATGATCAATGAGAGATGAAAAAATTTATTTTGTCAAATGTGAGGGATGAAAAATCCATTTTGTGAATTGTGAGTGACTATGGATCAGATTACGTGAAACGTAACTTGACATTTTTGTCCCTAAAAAATGCTCAAGTGCAAGACACGTGGTGGATTTCGGTCAAAAACTAGTCAGAAACCTAGGTAGGGGCTAGGGTTGTCAATGGAGCCAGATTAGCCCGAACTAGGCTCGTTTAACCTGAAAAAAAGGGCAATAAGCCTGACCATTCAGTGAGCCGGTCTGAGTTTGAATCTAAAAATTAGGTTCAAATTAAATATGAGCCAAGCTTGGGACTCATTAGGCTCAAACCCAATACAGGTCCGACCCTTTAATTACCTATATAGGGGAAGAATTGTATTATTTGACTAACAGAGATAGTATGATGTTCTCTGCATAAAACTTGACAATGTAAAGAACAATTAGTAGACCAAGAAAAGAAAGCATATTACTTTAGCGCTTCAAAAACATAATTGAAAACTCTATATCTTCTTGGGTACATATCTTCTCTGCCTATATCTGCATTTTTTGTATAACTTTTTGTAAATTCACATAATATGAAGTGCATTTATTTGCCATATTCTGACATTTTAAATTGTAATGGCAGGTGTGGTTAGACAACTAAGTATCACTTAGAATCCATTTACATTAAATCATTCTGCCTTGGTGTAATATCCAAAAAAAATAAAGGATGCAATGCATGTTGTCTTCAATTAATTATCATGTGGTGAAATGTGTCGCCATCTTATTCACTTTGTTAGATATTTTAGTTTTGCGATGTTTGACTTCTAGGCAAACCAAAAGGTACGGTTGTAGGTTCAGATATGGTCAAGCATTATGAAATACTAGATAATTTTTTTTCCTCAAGTTTTGGGATTAAATCTAAATTGATTGGCACTATTTCCTTTTTCATTTTAGAAATATTGGAGAGTGTTTAGGTTTCTTCATTGAAGTGCCTTTAGTTTTTGATAAGAGTATATTTTACATGTTTTTAGTGTATTTTATTAGTTAATTTTGGTGTGTTTTAATTAGTTTTACAACTAATTAGCTAGGGTTTTGGTAAAAATGTACATTTTATGGTTTAAGTGGCAAAAATTGCATTTCTATGGATCTTAATGATGAAAACTTCATGTTTTGTAGGTTTATGATTCAATCATCAAATGGCATGAATTGAGAAGAGAATTGGATGATTATTAATGATTTGAAGAGGTTTAAAGAAGACATGAAGTGCAAAACATTCAAAGGAAGAAATGCAAGTGAAGACAGTTTTGACACTTTATGGTATTTTGACTATATCTTGGGTTACAAGCATTGGATTGAGGTGATTCTTATACCATTTTTAAGCTAAGAGATAGATCTACATTTGATATGCAGACATCAAAATCCAGTTCAGTCATTTTCCTTGTCAAAAAGTCAAAATACAGAAGTACATGTGCATGGTCGAAAGCTGAAATAGAGCTCTGACTAGTTGAGGGTATTTTAATCATATCTCCGTCCACAGAACTCCAAATTGGATTATTCTTGAAGCATTGGAAATTAACTCAAAGAGCTACAACTTTCTTGTTTTTCACAAGAGTTAGTTCGGTCTCCATCATTGAGACAATAGCAGTTTAGTTGATGCCAAATTCACAGAAGTCAATACACGACTCTTGAATACGCGAGTTGAAGTCGCATATTTCAAGGTCGCATATTGTAGTCTGATTTTTGTAACTTACTCATCAACTTGCTCTATGTTCACACTACTTTCTATCTCTATTTCAGCTGCACATGTTCAAGGACCCTTTTGGAAGAAAAAAGGAGCTTTATGTCTTGTCCAAAAACTACTTTTTGACTCTCTTAACATAAGAGATGTTAGAATCATTAGAAAAGGGAGAATAGGACATGTTAGAAGTAGTTCTCATCAGATTTTAGCATTAGAACTTAGTAGTGCGTCTTGTCTTGTTCTCTCTAGCTAGAACTTTTGTGAGAACAATTGGAGACTTCATTGTACAACTTATTATGTTGAAGAAATTGAGGATCATTGGGAGCTTCTTCACTAATCTTGGCTAAGTTTTCTTTATCTATCTTTTACTTGTGATTCAATATGTGTTCATGCAATGAAACAATGTTATTTCTTGTCATCTATTATGAGTAGCTAAATTTCTAGATCTAAGGAGTAGATGAAACTTATGGCTACTTGATATGAAGTGAATGTGATTTGCACTTGTTACACCTTGTATTAACTTGTTTATTTATGTATGCTTATCACTTGTTGTTGCTTGATCACCAATAGCAAGCTTTTAGTTGTGATTATTCAATGAAAGTTGGTAATAATGATGGAACAACATAAATAGAGCGTGAGTAGTATTCTCATGAGAATAGAGATACTCTTAAGTAAATTAAACTTGCATTTCATCAAGGAGTAAGAGTAGATCTAGTTATTCACTATGAGAATAGGGAAAACTAGTTTATTTTAAGCCATTTTATCATGAGATTGAGATTTGGTAATGTTGGAAAAAAATCCCTAGTTAAACAAGAGTTATAACAAGAGGTAAATCTATTTATTTATATCTTTTATGCCATAAGTGAAATCTATACCCCTAGACTCAAGTATTTAGTGAATTTTCTCCATTGTTACCTTGCAAATATCTAGTTAAGATTAGTTAGATAGTAGTAATTACAATTTCTCTTTCTTAAATTGATCATTAGTTTAAATAATAGAGTAAGTAAGGACCTAGTACTTGCAAAGTTGCTCCCTA